TCCATCCATAAATCCTCTTCAGTGCTCTGATGCCTGCTGTAAGATATGCTTTTTCTGTTGACTAAATGTAGGGACTTCGATCCACAACAAGTCACTGCCGGCTGAGTAGTTTGCTCTGTGATGTGTCTCCATTAATCCATGCCGAGTCCACCTTGTATTTTGTGCATTTATTAAAATTAACACAATTACTTTTGCATCCAGCAAACAGCGTCTGTATTAATTTACATGTTGGTCAGTTTGACTGACAAAGATATTGATCAAAAATTATGTTTCTAAATTGTTCCCCAGTGACGGTCAACAGAAAAGTTTGCCAGAGACCCTACTAACCCTGGTCCAATTACTCAGATCAGCTAAGAAATATGTGACCACGCCCCTCATGCACGCCCCTGCAGTGCTGGAAAATCTAAACACCTGTGCCACCATAAACAACACAACACCTAACAGTCATTTTGGCTCTTACAATTCCGGCCCCTAATTATTATTAATCAAAATATAATAATTATAAAATATTCAACTTTCACAACTTCTGCAATTTCATAAACAATTTCAATCATCCTTTAGTGCTACCATTATTAGTACTGTTATCTACAACAACACATGGTGAATCTGTGAAGTTATTAGTCCAAAGATACAAAACTTGCAAGTCTAGTCATGCGAAGACGACAAAGTCAGTCCAGTCTGTCAAATGTTCTCTGTCTCCTGTAAAAGACAGACTTTACTTATGGGTCTATTCAGGTACCCAGTCTTTGTCTTGATCCGAAGATGATGAACAAATCCCTTTTTGTCTTGAATGGTCTCTTCAACCTTTCCAGCTATCCTGGAGTTCCTTGGTGCTGAATCATAAACGATGATCACAATGTCTCCTGGCATGAAGTTGCGTTTTGGGTTGCACCATTTCATGACATTTCTTTCACTTCATCAGGATTCTGAGGCCACTCCTCTTGTGGCAGCAGAAGAAATGGAGGCCCACACAACCAAGTTTCTTTGTTTTTCAGAAAGGATTCAATGGTTAAACCTCGAGAAGCCATATCTGCTGGATTGCTAGCTGTGTCAACATATCTCCATTGTAAAGCATTTGAATTTTTGGCACTTTCAGAAACTCTGTTGGTGACAAAAGTGCGAAACCTTGTTTCATTATTGATGTATTTCAGCACAGATGTGCTATCAGTCCAAAATACTGAATTTGTCAGTTCCATCTGGAGCTCCTTCTTCCACATTACATCCATTCTGCTTGCTACAGTTAACTCCATTTGAGGAATTGTATTTGGTTTTAAAGGAGCAACACGTGCCTTTCCCATCACAAAAGCAGTGTGCCTGATCCAGTTCATCCTTTAGCAACAAATAAGTTACTGTTCCATAGCCATCCTCAGATGCGTCTACAAAATGATGCAACTAAGCAGCTTTCATGGCTCCAAAACCATTTGGTTTAAAGCAACGATTGACCTTGTAGTCCTCCAGCTTATGGAGATCACGCATCCAAATAGTCCATTCCAGGCTGAGTGCATCAGGTAATGCATCATCCCATCCAATCTTTCTTCTACACAAATTTTGCAGAATCTTCTTGGCGATCAAAATTACTGGTGCCACGATTCCCAGGGGGTCATAAACAGAGCTGACTGCAGAGAGGATCCCACGTCTTGTCAGGGGTCAATCTTTGAAAACAATTTTGAACTTGAAAACGTCAGACTCAGCACACCATTGAACACCCAAAACTCTTTCCACTGGAAGCTCATCATTGTTTAAGTCTAGATCCTTTATTTTCTTTGCTCGGTTAGCTTCAGGTATTGCGGCCAACACATTATGACTGTTACTTATCCACTTGTTCTGTAGAAAGCCTCCTTTCAAGCATATTGCATATTGGGGAGTGGTGGCGCAGAGGTTAGAGAGGTGGGCTTTTTCTTCATGATTAAGAGCTTGAGATGTTGCATATTTATGTTCTTGTGAATTTCTGGTGTTTGTTTCGTATGTTGAAGGGCTTGCAGAAAGAGTCTGTGTTTGGGTTGTAACTCTACTTGCAGTTATGAGAGGTTGTGATTTTGCATTGTCATGCTTTTGAAAGATATGCACGGGTTGCATGTCATATACAAAATCATCAGCTCCAACATCCAATACGTTACTTTCCTTTCGTCTCTTTTCAAAATATGACTCCATAACATCAGATGTTTTCCCTTTAATGATGGATCCTTTAGAGCCTCCCAAAACTTGCATTTTTGCAACAGTAGCAGCAATATCTGTTTTCAGCTCCAGTTGTTCTTTTTGTCTTCTTAACTGTGCCTCATGTTCCTCCAAGGTATGTTTTTCTTTAAGCAGTTTCTGTCTTACAGTTAGTGCAGCTGCTTCAGCTTCACCCATTATCCGTGCTGATGTTGTACTTGAAACTCTAGAGTTTGGGCCTGAGGAACTTTGTTTAATTCTTTTGCTTCCTATATTTGAAACACTGTCACCTGGTTGTATTTCATCCTGTATGTCAGATGTTGCTTTAAACTGTTTTGGAGATTTTGATATGTTATGATGATAATTTGTTGAAGAAACCATCTCATTTGATAAAACAATCTCAGAAGAAACAGGTATATCTGAAATTGCAGCATTTTCAGTTCCATGGCCTCCTTCTTCTAGAAAAGGTTTTCCAATTTCATGAAGCCACTGTTTCACATTGATTTGGGATATTTGTTTAAATAAAACCAGGATTCGGAAGAGTAATCAGCACAATGGTCAAAAAGAAATACACAAACACTGTTCTGCTAGAATAATTGTGTCCTTTATTATTCCGCTACAGATACAGCAAAAGCAAAGCAATAGTACAATCACACAAGTATTGATGTAGGAAAAAACTCTCACTGTGACACAAGGCTGGAGAGCAGGACAGCCTAGGCAGAGCATACACCAACACAATACCGGACGTCCCGATCGAAAGACTCACAGCAGACTAACTCTCCTCTGAGTGCTTTCTATTTAATACTTTCCACCCTCTACATCGCGTGAGAGCATCTCCCAGTGAACAAAACATGCCCACCTGGACTAAAAACTGTGAGAAGTTTGAAATGGCGTGAGAAACCTCGAGATAGCGTGAAAAACTGAGAGAAACTTTCGAAATAGCGTGCGGGGGGGGGGGGGGGGGGGGCAAGCCTCCTCCTCAGGCGACTCACAATAACATGTACCAAAAACACTTTATATCACAGGTTAAACAGTCAGAAAAACAACATTTTATTAAATTCTTTATTCACACATCTTCAGCAAAACCAGCATTACATTTAGCTATGCCTTCAAACCATTCAGCTTGAATGTTTTGTTCATCTTTAGGGATCAATAGAATGAATTAATCATGAGCAGTCTTTGCATTTTTATACAGATCATTCAGTTTTCCCAATTTAAACTGAACATCCTTTGCATTGTCATCATTTTCCATTAATTTTTTAATATCATGTGTTAATCCTTTAATTTAGTTCACGTGAGATTGTCGCCTTTTTTGCAAAGTTTCCATTTTATAAGCAAGCGCTTTGGCTGTCAGCTTTGCAAATCTTTTTTCATGCAGTTCACATTCAGCTTCTTTTGTTGCACTCATTTGCATCAAACAGCATCACATGACTTCAGACAGCTTTACAAACAGAGCACAGCCAATGTTTTTCTTCTGCGCAGACCAGTGTGCAGAGCAGCCTACTGCTTGCCAATCAAGCACGCGCACTCACAAACCAAACCAATGTCTCCAATGGACAAGCGGTGACACATCAAACTGTGTTCAAAACTTCCAACATACACAGAGTGAGTCAGCGTGTCCTACCGCCTCTGATGGGTGTGCTGCGCTGCGTTCCACAAACTTCCTCCGGCCAGCTGGTCAGCTGCGTCATTTCCAATAAACTCCTTGGAGAACGTCGTCCAAACATGACAAAAAATTGTCTGATCCACATTGTTATCCAT